AAAAGAAAGTTTAACAAGTTAAAAAAAAAAAAAGATATCAACATCACTGGTTATTACTGAGTGCATTAAAAAGCTCAAGGGCACACATTAGAAAGAAAAATACAATGTACATAAGCTTAGTCAAGGAAAATGAAATAAAAAACAGTGCAGTAAATATTTTTTTAAATGAAGAGGAGGGAAAGTATAGAAGATTAAAAAGGAGGTACAAACAAGATAGTTAAATCCATTGAAATATACTTATCACAATAAGAATACATACACCAAGCATGCCAGTCACCATCAGTGATGGGTGGACTTGATTTTTAAAATAAACTGCAGTAATGAATGTTTTCAAGAGACACGTGGACACTAGGAAATGGACAGGTTGAAAGTAACACGATGGAAGAGATATAGCAGGCCAACATTTTAAAATAGAAAGGAAGCTGTGATAACTGCAGTGGTAACGTGGTGGCGTGTAGTGGTAACCAGAGAGGCAGCCCAGAAGCCCCAGCTCCACAAGCTTTGAGTGGTCTCTGCCAGGAATGGCCGGCTCCTTGTGGTCACTTGAGCCAGGGAACTGTCCAGCAGCAAATACTTGCTGAAGTTAAGCTAGACACAGTCCAAGAAAGGCAGGGCTCCCCCTGCTGGGGGTGTCTGGAAGCTAGAAAGGGGAAGTAGACTGGGTGGTCTGACTACAGGGGTGGTAAAGCTGGCGCTGCTCAGTGTGGTACTCTGAGTTGGGTGAGGTAGCTGCAGCAAGCAGGCGAGGGTCTTAGGCATATGGTCAGTGTAGCCCCATAACCAGATGTTTGGGATGGCCCTGCACGTGGGCTTGTGATGTTCTGATTAATCATTTCATCTTTGTGTTTGGTAAGTAAAGTCCCATGGGACAATACATCGTGGGTAGAGCCCAGAACAGAGCCTCCAGTGAGCCTTCCCTTCCCAGCCCCACCCAAAGACCACTATCACCTTGGCAGGGCCCCCAGGTCCAAACACAAGAAAGATTGGGGTCAGGTGCCCTTTCCGGAAGGAGCTGCCCCTCTCTAAATTGGTGGTGCCTCCTCTGCAGTCTGGCAGGGGGCTAGGGAGGATGGAGTTTCTTGCCCACCCCCCATCTGGGCACTGAGCGTATTCCAGCCAAGACGTTACAGTGCTCGGGCTGTGGGTTGGGGGCAACGGGTTCTACTTCTGGGCATGTAGGCTCATCTGGAGGGTACACTATTTAGTAGCCCCGGACACAGCCAAGTCATGTGGCGGGGTCCCTGAGACAGTGTGTCCTGAGTGAGTAGGCCCATGCAGAGTAAGCTGTATTAAATCACAAACAAAACCCCTGTGATGGGTCGAGAGAGACCACAGGGAGGGGGAAGGGTCTTCCTGTTTTTTGAACTCAAACCAAACACATAAGACGTTGAATCGATTGGGACTCATAACAACCCTACAGGCTGATGAGATGGTGAATCTTCACAGGAGTAGAAAGCCTCATCGTTCTCCTGAGGAGCAGGTTGGTAGATTTGAACCACTAATCTTGTGGCTAGCAACACAACTCATCACCCACTATATATCACCAGTGCTCCTGCTTTTTTGAACTAGGGACCCCACATTCTCCTTTTGCACTGGGCTCCACAAATGATGTGGCCAGCCATGGCCTCAAGGGCTGGTGTGAGAACCAGTCTGCACAGAGAACAGGCATGTTGGAAACAAGTCCCAAGATTCCTGATTCTAAAATGTTTGTGGACTGAAGAGTAGTAACAAGTGGGCGGAGGGCATTCTCGGAGCTTTGGGAGGAGAAGCAGCTCCCTGGCTCCATCTTAGTTTGTATACAGTGGAGGCTTGGCTTCTCTGAAGAATACAGAATGGTGGAATGTCAGGATGGGGCTGGGGCATCAAAGAACCGAGTCGAACACTCTTATCATGGTGTGAGTGGCAAGCTGGGGCTCTCCAGGTCTTCTCTAGGTTATCACCTGTGTTAGGGTAGCCTGAAATTCATACGCATGCATACGTGTAAAAGAAAGAGCAATTGAATATGTGCTTTATATAAAGAGCAATTGAATATTGAGAAAACATCCCAGCCCAGTCCAGTTCAAGTCAATAAGTCCGATATTAGCCCTTAAGTTCGATATCAGTCTGTAAACTCCTCTTCAGACTCACGAAACACATGCAATGACACTGAATGCAGGGAGATCACAGGCCAATGGGTGGGAAGTCTTGTGGATCCAGTGGCGGTGTAAGCATCTCAGTGCTGGCAAGGGGTCTCTACATGGCTCCTTCAGCTCCAGGGCTCTAGTGTAGCTCCATGTGCCTTGTCCCTTGTCCACAGGAATGTCTTGCAAGGAGTCTGTGTGTCCCACCTGAAGCAAACTATTTATCTCCGTAGCATCTCCAAATGAGGTCATCAAACTGCCACCTGATTGACAGGCTAAACTCCACCCCTTCACTCTTTAAGTCTCAAATTGAAAACACCAACCAAAACATTAAAAAAAATAACCCACTGCCATTGAGCTGATTCTAACTCATAACTACTCTATAGGACAGGCTAGAACCGCTCCTTAATGGTTTCTCAGACTTCAAGTCTTCATGGGAGCAGACAGCCTCTTCGTCTCCCACAGAGCAGCTGGGGCCCGGCAGCGGCGGGAGGAGGGGAGCTTAAACTGCTGACCTTGTGGTTAACAGCCCAACCTGTGGCCCACAAGCCACAAGCCATAGCTGCTTCTGAAACTCCCTGCCTGAGCCATTGAGAGACAAGAGACGTGAGGCTGAACCGAACCCCCAGGCTTGAGGGAGATGAGACTGCATGACTTGCCAAGACCTCGAACTGATGTGTGTAAGAATGAATTCATTCCGCTGTGAGATTTTGAGGCCAGACAGGTAAGTGGCTCATTCCGATCAAAGGAAAATGAAAAGAATCAGTCACAAGTAACCAAGGGACAGGTGGCCCATGAGGGTGACATTGCCGGGCAGCCTCTTGGTAAGCACTGAGATCAGCTCAGAGACGAAAGGCAGAAAGCTGCCTGCTGTTTGCTTTCAGGCGTGGAAGCACTTGCGTCTGAGGCTTTAAATCGGATGGCAGGCCAGAGCCAGACCAACTGAATTGTAAACACAGACACAGTCACCAGCGCCACATGAATAATGCAGCTGCTACCGTCCTGCTGCCCAAATTCTATTTTCCGAATTCACATGATGTGCATTTGGATCAAAAAGCATTCTCAAAATAGAAGCAAATTTCATCTGCCTTTTCTACTCCAGTGCATGCAGTCGCCTTGTAAATGCAGCTTGCTGCACGGCCGACTGTTAATTATCTGCCTGAGCCAAGGGAGGCTCCAGGGAACTGCCTGCGATTGTCTCCCTCACTTCCATTTGTCTGGAATTCGCCGCATCTTTCCTCCAACAAGCTTCACTGGCGCTGGGCACAAGTTGGAAAGTGAATTGACTGGCACTTCACTCCTGATGCTTCCTCTTGACCAACGATGGTGGGGGCTACCAATCAGGAAAGAGGTATGCAAACCTGCCAGTGTGGCAGTGACATTATCTGTCAACTTGTGAAGGGGTGGAGTTTAGTCTGTCAATCAGGTTGCAGCTTCATGACCTCATTTGGAGGCACCAAGGAGATAAATAGCTCACTGGAGGCCCGACACACTCTCCCTTGGGAGACATTCCTGTTGACAAACCACATGGAGCTATGCTGATGGCAGCCAGGGCCTTGGAGCTGGAGGAGACACATGTAGACCCACGCTGGCAATGAGATGCTTCCATTGCCTCTGCATCCACAAGACTTTCCACCCACTGGCCTGTGATCTTCCTATACTGGGCGCCATTGCATGTATTTGCGTGAGTCTGGAGAGGAATTGACAGACTGGTATCGAAAATATGGGCTAACATCAGACTTATGGACTTGATCTGGCTGGGCTGAGATGTTTTCTCAATATACAATTGTTCTTTTACATAAGCCTCTTTCTTATACACATATAAGCGTCCCTGGATTTAGAGGGTGAAGAGGAAGTCTACAGGGTCCCCAACTTCTCATGGCAGGCCTTCCAGACCCTCACTCTCCTTGGCTGCCAAATGGGTCACTAATTCTTTATGGGGCTGCCCATCCGGACTCTCATTTTCTGCATTCTCCACCCTGTCTAGCATAGTGTATCGCATAAACAAGCATGTGGAAGGTCAGACAGGTGAATGGATGGATCCCAAATGGTCAGAAGGGAGAGTAGGAAGAAGGGAATGGCATTCATTCACGTTTCCATCAAACAAGGAATTATTGAGTATCTAGGAGCTCTAGTGGTGCAGCCAGTTTTGCACTGAACTGCAAACCACAAGACCAGCAGTTCAAACCCACTAGTTGCACCATAGGAGAAAGATGAGGTTTACCATTCCTGTAAAGATTTAAAGTCTTGAAAACCCAAAGTGTGTGTGTGTGTGTGGGGGGGGGTAGTCCTATTCTGTCCTATAGGTTGTCTCGGCTCAGTGGCAGTGGGCTTGGTTTTTTTGTTTACTGTGTGCTAAGCACTCTTCTGGAATTCTGGGATTACTGGAGTGACGAGACGAGATCTTGTGAAAGTTCCTGTCTGGGTTGGTGGAAGGGTGGAGACCAGATCATGAGTTGTTTGATGAGGAATCCTTTGAACCCTATTCTGAATCATCAGAGAAAGCCAACCATACGAAGAGATGGGTGGAGCGGTTTTATTAAGAGGAAACGTTGCTGAATTTCTATTTTTACATACTTTGACAAGGTGTCTCATTTTCTAGCCTCTGAAATATGAGCCAGTGCAAGTTCCCGGCTTTAAATCATCTTAATAAAATTAGCCTGGTGGGAGGATGCAAATTGGAAGCGGGGCTGCCATTCTTTTAGGAAACCAGACAGCTTACTATTATCGATGAGGGTTGAAAAGGCACTTATCTCCCGTGATCTTTCTCTTCTTTTGCTTGTACAGCTTTGCTCCTGGACCGCATAAAGCTTCCCTCAAAAAAGATGCATTCCAGAAGACAAACTTCTTTCAAGATAAAAAATTCCTTTCAAGAGTAGCAAGAGGCAGCAGAGATGATGCCCTTCGAAATTTTACCAGAAACACACCCTTGATCTTTAAACATGGAAAAAGGATGATGAAAACGGCCTCCAAACGACACGAGAAAGGACGCGGGTGAAAGATTTAGCTTTAGAAAGGAGCACCGTGAGCCTTTGGACTTCAGTAATAACTACGTCTAAGCCCACTGCCTGAACCCTGGACAACTCGTTGATTTGGAGAGCAGCCAGGATCCAGAGGCTCACCCTGGAAGGCCGAACAAGCCACAGGGTACAGGTGCTCAGAAAACCTGGTTCCTGGCACTCATTGGAAGGAAGAGATTATCTTGCCCATTTATTTGATCACCTGACAGTTCCAGTGCTCCAACCCTGCTATGTCCAAGAACTGCTATCCTTAGAAGGTGGAGGAGCGAAAGGCGGCTGATGGAGACATCATTTGAAAGTCTACTTCAGAAAGTGCAGACACGCGTGTCTAAGGGCCAATGTTCTGTTTTGCAAATCGGCCTCTGTGCGATCCGATCCCTACAAAGCAAGCCCTCTTCCTCTGTTTCAAGACTGTTTCGTGTTCAGCTATTTAACCAGAGGTGTTTTTAAATATTGGGGTGGGGGTGGGGAACAGGTGCGCTCCCTTGACATGTACCCTAGAAATGAATGCTGTTCCTCCCTCCTGTTTTTGAAAATCTGAACTTCCTTGTGTAGTCCGCTGACAGTCCCTGGGGGACCAACCAGCCCCGGGTGGGTGGTTTCCTCACACCTCCTGCAGTAGTTTGTGCACCCACGTGAAGAGCAGAGGGTTAGCTGCCCCCAGCTCCAGTCTCCTCCGTAGCCCCCC